ATCCCATCCTTCCAATTAGTAGAATTTTTATCTTTTGCTTCCAAACATTACAATTTTTATTTTATCCTTTCAAACATTAGAATTCTTATCTTATTCTTCCAAGACCTAGATATCCTATGTTATCCTTCGAAACATTAAAAGTTTTATCCCATCGTTCCAAACATTGGAATTTTTGATGATATTCTTTCAAACATTAGAATACTTATCATATCCTTTTAAAGACTGGAATTCTTATTTTATACTTTGAAACATTTGAACTCTTATGGTATTCTTTCAAATATTAGAATTCTTCTGTTGTTTTTCCAAACATTGGAAGTTTTCTCCCATCCTCCTAAACATTGGAATTCTTAAATTTTCCTTTCAAACATTAGAATTTTTATCTCATCTTTCCAAACAGTAGAATTGTTATGTTATCCTTCCAAACAATGGACTTTTTATTTCATTCTTCCAAATGTTAGAATTCTTCTCTTGTCCTGCCAAACATTGGAATTTTTATCCCGTCCTTCCAAACACTGGAATTCTTATCTTTTCCTTCGAAACATTAGAATTCTTATTTTATCCTTCTAAACACTGGAATTCTTATCTTATTCTTCTCTTATGCTATTCTTTCAAATATTAGAATTCTTCTCTTGTTATTCCAAACATTGGAATTCTGATCTTATCCTTGCAAACATTGGAATTTTTCTCCCATCCTTCTAAACATTGGAATTCTTATCTTTTCCTTCTAAACATTAGAATTCTTATCTTATCTTTCCAAACATTAGAATTGTTATGTTATCCTTCCGAACACTGGAATTTTTATCTCATTCTTCCAAATATTAGATTTCTTCTCTTGTCCTTTCAAACATTGGAATTTTTATCCCGTCCTTCCAAACACTGGAATTCTTATCTTATTCTACCAATCATCAGAGTTTTTATCTTATCCTTCCAAACATTGGAATTCTCATCTTATCCTTGCAAAGATTAGAATTCTTATCTTATCCTTCCAAACATTAGAATTCTGATCTTATGTTTCCAGAGATTGGAATTCTTATCTTATTCTACCAATCATTAGAGTTTTTATCTTATTCTTCCAAACATTTGAATTCTTATCTTTTCCCTCGAAGCCTGTCACGGAGTTTTGTGTTACATTTCGCGCGTGACATTTTTTGATCTTAGATGTAGCCGATCACATTTCGAACAAGTGATCATGTGACACTTTGAACGGAGTAGTTTTTCGATTTAGAGAATTGTAATTTTTCTTGAAGGCACGTGTATCGGTTTAGAAGCCCGTTAGTTTGTGGAACCCTATCGTTTTTGGCAAGTGTGACGGAATGGAAGCCTGTTACTGTTAGAGATCTATTGGTGTCGAATAAAATCTATCACATTTGGTCCCAAGAGCCGGATTTGGAGTCAGAACTAGCTGAATTATGCCTGGAAAACTAGCAAAGAACCTGAAAATACGTGCGGCGCATCGCTTACACACAAGGAAAGTTCTTGCATCAGTCGATGAACTTCTCATGGATTACGATGGGTCTGATACCACTAAAGACAAGATAAAACGGATAACTATTACGCTCAATGAAAAATTAGCGACCTTAAAGGCCTTGGACGAATCGATTTTGGCCGCAATCGACAAAGGAAATTTAGAACCGGAGATAGAGGAATCTGAAGAGTTTCGCGCGCGAATTCATGGCGCCCTTGTCAAGTTGCAGAAATGTGAAAATTCTCATGGCAAACAAGAATCGCCTCAAGGAAGTCAAGGTGGGTCTGTTCCATCTAGTTCTAGTAACGGTGCAAAGCTACCAAAACTACACATAAAAAGATTTGCTGGCAACCCAAAAAACTGGCAAACATTTTGGGATTCGTTCTCGTCTGCGGTGCATAAGAACGCTTCGCTAACCAATGTTGACAAGTTTAATTACCTGCGAAGTCTATTAGATGGCCCAGCTCTAAATTCTATCACTGAATTACCATTAACTGAACTGAACTATAAGGAGGCTATTGAAATCTTAACCGATAGATTTGGAAACAAGCAGATAATTATTATCTCTCACATGGAGGCCTTACTCAAATTACAGCCTGTGAATGCCATGTCTAACATTAAGGGAATCCGAGCTGTTCTCGATAATTTGGAAATTCAGGTTAGAGGTTTACAAGCACTGGGAATTGATTCTGCACAGTATGGAGCTCTTTTGATTCCTATATTCATAGAGAAGTTGCCCGAAGAATTGCGATTGATTGTCAGCAGGGAACATAAGGATAACTGGGAGCTAACTTCTGTAATAAAAGCTGTCAAAAATGAAGTGGAGGCCCGTGAAAGGTGTGGTATGAATACATCTGTGGAGAAAAAATCCCCATTAAAGAAATCATTTAACCCTGGCAATGAATCAACTCGAGAGCATTGTTGAGCGGAAATCGTGGGGAGTTAAACTGTTTGTTTTGCAAAGGAAATCACCGAGCGTCTGAGTGCCAAGTTGTAACAAATATTGATGAAGGGAGAGAAATTTTGAAGAAACAAGGGAGGTGTTTCAATTGCCTGCGCGGTGGGGGGCACCTAGCCCGTAACTGTGACACCAGAATTCAGTGCTTCAAGTGAAGTGATCGTCACCATTTGGCAGTTTGTAATAGTAGTATGGCAGACAGCAATAATATTCCTGCTGGGGCAACAGCCTCACCTGCATTGCATATTGGTTCTAGGATGCATGTTTTCTTACAGACTGCTCAAGTAAGTGTGTCAATCCCGGGGAAGGAACTCTCTCATAGTGTCACTGTACGTGCAATTTTTGATACTGGAGCCCAGCGATCGTATATCAACCAAAAGGTGGTAAATACCTTGAAATTGATAACTGTCAGGACAGAGAGACTGAAAATTGCAACATTTGGGGATCAGAACCAAGAGCTGGAAGCTGTCAACCTGGTCGAACTTTCTCTAACCAAATCAGGAACAGACTGTAAAACAACATTTAATGCATTTGCAGTCCCTCACATTTGTAATGATTTACAAGGTCAAGATTTGGAATGGGTTAAAAAAAGGTATCCCAGCTTAAAAAACATTGAATTTGCTGATGTGTGCCCTGCTAGCAATACAACGCAGATTGATTTGTTGATTGGTTCAGATTATATCTGTGATTTCTTTGATGGCAAAACAGTAAGGTGGGAGGAGTCAGGTCAGGGTGGACCTGTGGCTGTTTCTACAAAGGTTGGATGGGTGTTGTCGGGTCCGGTGGAAAATCTCCCGAGGGAGAAACTTTCAAGTATTCAGTTTTCGTCGACTCACGTGTTGAGGACGGAGTCAAGGGTTGTTGATTATACGCTGCATGGGGATTTGGATAGATTGTGGGATCTGGATTCTGTCGCATTCGAGATAAGGATACCGTTCTTGAAGCCTTTGAAAAGAATTTGAGTTTTCAAGATGGCAAGTATTTGGTCCATCTACCTTGGAAGGAGCAACATGGGCTGTTGCCAGATAATTTTGAGAACTGTGTAGCAAGATTGAGCTCGCAGCTTAAACGTCTTAGAAAGGATCCAGAGATCTTGAAAGAATATGACTCCATCATACAAGATCAGTTGCAGAGTGGTATAATTGAGCAAGTAGACGGTGCCAAGCGTCCTGATGTTGGAAGGGTGCATTATTTACCGCATCATGGGGTGGTACGCAGGGATGCCCTTACAACCAAACTTCGTGTTGTTTTTGATGCGTCGTCAAGGCCCAGCAGGGATATTCCAAGTCTTAACAAATGTCTTTAATCAGGACCAGCCTTAACTCCAACGATCTTCAATGTTCTCCTCCGGTTTAGAGAGAAAGGAACTGCACTTGTAGGAGACATTGAAAAGGCCTTTCTTAACGTGGGAGTTGCTGAAGAAGATCGTGATGTCCTGCGATTCCTCTGGGTGGACAGTTTAGAAGAAAAGAATCCCGGATTGATTTGATATCGGTTTTGTCGTGTGGTGTTTGGAGTCAATGCTAGCCCTTTTCTTTTGAATGCCACTTTGAAGTATCATATCATTCAATATGAGGCTGACCCTGGTTTGGTTCAGAACTTGTTGAATTCATTTTATGTGGATGATTTGGTGACAGGAGAAAGGGGTGTTGAGGAGTGTCTGTCGCTTTATCAGAAGTCTAAGAAGTGTCTATTGGAAGATGGGTTTAACTTGCGAAAGTGGATTTCAAGTTCACCTAAATTGCTTGAATTGATTTGTGAGGACCAAGTTGGAACTGTCGGAACTTGTGCTGTAGTGGAGGATACAGAGTCTTATGCGAAAACTACTGTCAATCATTTGGAGAAGCTTTATATGAAGGATGAACACAAGGTACTTGGTCTTAGTTGGAACTGTGTTACCGATGAGTTCATTTTTAAATTTGAAGCCTTACTGAGACTTTCAGAAGACTTGGAGCCGACCAGGAGAAACTTGTTAAAGGTTACTTCAAGTTTCTTTGACCCCCTTGGAGTACTCAGCCCAATACTGGTGGAAATGAAGATTTTGTTTCAGTCTCTTTGCCAGGACAAGTTTGAATGGGATGCGCCACTCCCGGAGTCTGCCTGGAAGCAGTGGAACAGGTGGCTTCAGGACTTGAGAGAGGTGCAGCAAGTGTTAGTAGCGAGGTGTGTGTATGCTGGATTAGAGGAAGGTGTTACGTCGTATGTTATTCATGGGTTTGGGGACGCTTCAGAAAATGCTTATTGTGCTGTTGTTTACTTGGTTCTTGAAGTGAGTGGTGATTTTTTTCCAGTTTTGTTGTCATCCAAAACCAGAGTGGCACCGCTGACGAGGCAGTCTATCCCTAGACTCGAATTACTGTCTGGGGTCATCTTAGCAAGATTGGTGTCCTCAGTTAAAGAAGCCTTGGCGTCACAGATTACAATTGACAAGACACACTTGTGGCTAGACAGCAAGACTGCAATCTGCTGGATAAAGGGTTCGAAGGAGTGGAAGCAGTTTGTGCAAAATCGTGTGAATGAAATCTTGTCTTTAACCTAAGAGAGCACGTGGAACCATTGTCCTGGCATTGAGAACCCAGCGGACATAGGATCTCGTGGAGAAGGTGCAGCTAAGTTAAAGAGTAATGTGTTGTGGTGGAAGGGACCGTCGTGGCTGTCGGAGCCCATGAGAAACTGGCCCAGTTCTGAGGAATGTTCCGAAACAATTGCTGGAGAGTGTTGCGTAGAGATGAAGAAAGGCCATGCCATCGAAGCAGTTGGTGAAGCAGTATTCTTAACTACAAATGGAATGCCCAATATGGACACTATTATTCTGATCACAGATTTTAGCTCCTGTGACAAGCTATTTCGTATTACAGCCTTGGTGTTTCGCTTTGTGAAAAATTTAAAAATCAAGGCCAAGTTGCTAAAGGAAGGAACTGTTTACCTGGGAGAGGTTACTGCAGAAGAACTTGGAAATTCAGAAGTGAAGTGGTTAAGAAGTGTCCAGAAAGAATTGAAGTCCCAAGCAAATTACAGTCAGTTAGAGCGAGACTTTGGTTTGTACGAAGACAGTAGTGGAGTCCTAAGGTGTAACGGGGAATTGCTAATGCTGATGTACCACAGGAGACGAAGTTCCCAGCTTTACTACCAAGGAATCATCATCTTTCAACTCTGTTGGTGAGAGATGCTCATGAAAGGGTGCATCACAATAGGGTAGAAGCTACGCTGGCCCAGCTGAGAACCAGATTTTGGATTGTCAAGGGACAGTTTGTTAAAAGAACACTGGCTAGCTGTACAGTTTGTCGCAGATATGAAGGGAAGAGTTGCAGAGTGCCTCCTCAAAGTGACCTACCAGAGTTTAGATTGAGCCAGAAACCTGCCTTTACTTATGTTGGAGTAGATTATGCTGGACCTTTCTACATTAAGGTGTCAGGACAGTCAGCGTTACAGAAGGTCTATGTTCTCCTGTTTACTTGCTGTTCTGTGAGAGCAGTACATTTGGAGCTTACTACGGACCTGTCAGTTGATGTATTCATTCGTTGCCTGAGGAGATTTGCAGCTAGAAGAGGTTTACCAGAAATGATTATCTCGGACAATGCTAAAACGTTTAAGGCTGAAGATAAAATTTTGAGCAAGTTATTTTCTTACCCAAGAGTCAAGAAATTCCTGGCCAGTAAAAGAATTGACTGGAGAAGTAATGTGGACAGAGCGCCCTGGTGGGGTGGCTTTTTTGAGCGATTGATTCAGAATACAAAGAGATGTTTGCAGAAGACACTTAGGAACGCTAAGTTAAACTATGACGCATTGCACACTGTTCTCGTCGAGGTTGAGGGAACTCTCAACTCTAGACCCTTAACTTATGTATCGTCAGATGATCCTGAAGAACCATTGACATCAAGTCACTTGATGTATGGAAGACGAATATTATGACTGCCGGAGGTAACAGGAAATCGACAAGCCTCACTTGACCATACAGTGTCGTCGGACGATCTCGTAAGAAGACGGAAGTACTTGGGATTGCTACTGGAACACTTCTGGAGGCGCTGGAGCAGAGAATATGTTACAGAGTTAAGGAATCTGCATCGGCAGAAATCCAGGCCTAGATCCAGTATTGCTGTATCTGAGATATTGTTACCGTTTTGGAAGACAATCTGCCCCGTAGTCAGTGGAAACTTGAATGAGTGGAGCAGTTGATCCTTGGTACGGACAATCGCGTTAGAACAGCTGTAGTCAAGGTTATCAATAAGAGTGGTAGACCTGTTACTATGAAGAGGCCAGTGCAAAGGCTGTTTCCCCTGGAGATACCTGTCGTGAGTAATGATGAACAACCTCGGGAGGAGCAGATAATTGATGGCATCAGGCCACCCAGGCGTCTTGCCGCTCGGAATGCTGATTATATTCGGAGACTAGTTGACCAGTGATTCGACTGGTCAAGGGGGGAGTGTGTCACAGAGTTTTGTGTAACATTTCGCGCGTGACATTTTTTGATGTTAGATGTAGCCGATCACGTTTCGAACACGTGATCATGTGACACTTTGGACGGAGTAGTTTTTCGATTTAGGGAATTGTAATTTTTGTCGAAGACACGTGTATCGGTTTAGAAGCCCGTTACTTTGTGGAACCCTATCGTTTTTGGCAAGTGTGACGGAATGGAAGCCCGTTACTGTTAGAGATCTATTGGTGTCGAATAAAATCTATCATAAAGCCTTCGAATTCTTATTTTATTCTTCCAAACATTAGAATTCTCATCTTATCCTTGCAGAGATAAGAATTCTTATCTTATCCTTGCAAAGATTAGAATTCTTATCTTATCCTTCCAAACATTAGAATTCTGATCTTAATTTTCCAAAGATTGGAGTTCTTATCTTTGTATTCCAAACAGTAACATTCTTATCTTATCCTTCGAAACATAGGAATTCTTATCTCATCGTGCCAAACACTTGAATTCTTATGTTATCCTTCCAAATATTAGAATTCCTCTCTTATTCCTTCAAACACTGGAATTCTGATCCCATTGTTCCAAACGTTAGAATTCTGATCTTATCCTTGCAACCATTCAAATTGTTATCTTATCCTTCCAAACATTAGAATTTTTATCTTATCTTTCCAAACTGTAGAATTGTTATGTTATCCTTCCGAACACTGGAGTTTTTATCAAATTCTTCCAAATATTAGAATTCTTCTCTTGTCCTTCCAAACATTGGAATTTTTATCCCATCCTTCCAAACACTGGAATTGGTATCTTATCCTTCCAAACATTAGAATTCTCATCTTATCCTTGCAAAGTTTAGAATTTTTATCTTATCCTTCCAAACATTAGAATTCTGATCTTATCTTTCCAAAGATTGGAATTCTTATCTTTTTATTCCAAACAGTAACATTCTTATCTTATCCTTCGAAACACAGGAATTCTTACCTCATCGTTTCAAACACTTGAATTCTTATGTTATCCTTCCAAACATTAGAATTCCTCTCTTATTCTTTCAAACACTGGAGTTCTGATTGCATTGTTCCAAACATTAGATTTCCGATCTTATTCTTGCAACCATTCAGATTGTTATCTTATCCTTCCAAACATTAGAATTCTTATCTTATCCTTTCAAACATTGGATTTCTCATCTTATCCTTTTAAACAATGGAATTCTCATCTTATTCTTTGAAGTACTGAAATTTTTATCCCATCCTATTAAATATTAGAATTGTTATCTTATCCTTTTAGACATTGGAATTTTTTTCTTATCCTTCCAAACATTCGAATTGTACTGTTCTCCTTGCAAACATTTGAATTTTTATCCCGTCCTTCCAAACATTAAAATACTTGTCTTATCTTATTCTTCCAAACATTAGAATTCTTATTTTATCGTTTCTAACATTAGAATTCGTATCTCATTGTTCCAAACATTAGATTTCCTTTCTGATTCTTCCAGACATTGGAATTCTGGTCTGATCATTCGAAAAGGTAGAATTCTTATCTTATCCTTCCAAACATTAGAATTCTTATCTCATTGTTCCAAACATTAGATTTCTTTTGTGATCCTTCCAGACATTGGGATTCTGATCTTATTCTTCAAAACACTGGAATTTTTATCCCATTGTTTTAAATATTAGAATTATTATCCTATCCTTCCAGACATTGGAATTTTTATCTTACTCTTTCAAACATTTAAATTCTACTGTTATCCTTACAAACATTAGATTTGTCATCCCATCCTTCCAATTATTAGAATTCTTATCTTTTGCTTCCAAACACTACAATTCTTATCTTATCCTTCCAAACATTAGAATTCTTAGCTTATTCTTCTAAACCTTAGATATCCTATGTTATCCTTCGAAACATTAAAATTTTTATCCCATCGTTCCCAACATTGGAATTTTCATGATATTCTTTCAAGCATTAGAATTCTTATAATATCCTTTCAAACATTGGAATTCGTATCTTATACTTTTAAGCAATTGAACTATTATGCTATTCTTTGAAATATTAGAATTCTTCTGCTGTTTTTCCAAACATTCGAATTCTGATCTTATTCTTCCAAACATTAGAATTTTCCTCACATCCTCCTAAACATTGAAATTCTTATCTTTTCCTTCCAAACATTACAATTCTTATCTAATCTTTCGAAACATTAGAATTGTTATGTTATCCTTCCAAACACTGGACTTTTTATCCCATTCTTCCAAATATTAGAATTCTTTTCTTGTCCTTCCAAACGTTGAAATTCTTATCTTATCGTTCAAAACATTTGAATTCTTATTTTATCCTTCTGAACACTGGAATTCTTATGTTTTCTTCCAAACATTAGACTTTTTTTTCTTATTCTTCCAATCATTCGAATTTTTTTCCCATCCTTCCAAACATTAGAATTCTCATGTTATTCTTCCAAAAATTAGAGTTTTTTTTCTTATTCTTCCAATCATTCGAATTTTTTTCCCATCCTTCGAAACATTAGAATTCTTATCTTTTCCTTCGAAGCCTTCGAATTCTTATTTTATCCTTCCAAACATTAGAATTCTTATCTTATTTTTCCAAGCATTAGACTTCTTATGTTATCCTTCCAAACATTGAAATTTTTATCCCACTCTTCCAAATATTAGAATTTTCTCTTGTCCTTCCAAACACTGGAATTTTTATACCATCTTTCCAAACACTGGAATTCTTATCTTATCCTTCCAAACATTAGAATTCTCATCTTATCCTTGCAAAGATTAGAATTCTTATCTTATCCTTCGAAACATTAGAATTCTGATCTTATCCCTCCAAAGACTGGAATTCTTTTCTTATCCTGCGAAACATTGGAATTCTTATTTTATCCTTCCAAACATTAGAATTCTTTTCTTATCCTTGGAAACATTAGAATTCTTATCTTTTCCTTCCAAACATTAGTATTCTTATTTTATTTTTTCTAAACATTGGAATTCTTATCTTATTCTTTCAAACATTAGAGTTTTCATCTTATTCTTCCAAACATTAGAATTCTTATTTTATCCTTTTAAACATTAGAATTCTTATCTTATCTTTCCAGACATTAGAATTCTTATGTTATCCTTCTAAACATTGGTATTCTTATCTTATTCTTTTAAAACTTAGAGTTTTTATCTTATTCTTCCAAGCATTAAAATTTTTATCCCATCCTTCCAAACACTGGAATTCTTTTCTTATTTTTCCAAACGTTGGAATTCTTATATTTCGCTTCCAAACATTAGAATACTTATCTTATTCTTCAAAACATTAAAATTCTGATCTTATCGCTCTAAACATTGGAATTCTTGTCTTATCCTTCCAAACATTAGAACACTTATCTTATTCTTCAAACCATTGGAATGTTTTTCTTTTTCTTCTTATCATTAGAAGTGTTATCTTATCCTTCCAAACATTACATTTCCTTTTTTATCCTTCCGATCCATGGAATTTCATCTTGTTCTTCCAAACATTTTTTCCCATGCCTCTAAACATTGGGTTTCTTTTCTTTTTCTTTTAAACTTTAGAATTTTTATCTCATCCTTTAGAATATCAGAATTCTCCTTATATCCTTCCAAACATTGGAATTCTTACGTTATCTTTCCAAACATTAGAATTCTTATATTATCCTTCAAATCATTAGAATGTTTATCTTATTCTT